CCTTTTCCGCATTTTAATGAAGAGTAAACAGAAATGTTGTTGGGGAAGTTTTATCGCTGCCTTTCCTCGGCTCTGATTAGCGATGCAGGGATTAACTGTCAAAGCAAATCCTGAACGCTGAAAACGCGGCAGGATTTCCCACTGAGCTTAAGAGCAGGACGCGCAACAGCCCAATCAGGAGGGGGCAGAGAACACATTCAGGGGGGCCTTGGTGGAACTGGGTTTTAATTATATCCTCGAGCAACCCTTGACCTTTCACTAGCAAGCCCCCTTCATGCTATGGTGCTTCCGCCACTTAATTCTACCCTACAACTATTGCCGCTATTCCATTAGTGGCCTCGGAACAAACACATGGCTCAATTATTGCGCGCACATCTCATTCCCTCTTTCTTTGTATTAACCTCCCCTGTTCATGCAGAACGACCGCCCAGCCCCCGCCATGTACAGGCAGCAATATAAACACCAAATGTAGCGTCGCTCTCTTCTCTCAAGGAGAAAAACTTAGCATGCATCAAGTGGCGCCGCGTAGACAGAGATAGCGACTGTCGCTGGTGGCGAGGCTGTCCCTGTACTTACAATTCATTGAAATAAAGGGGTACGGGACATGTAGACTGCCACCGATGTCTCTTCCTTTCCTTCTGAAAATGCTACCTGCCTGGCAGTCGCCACGGCCCGCTTTCTTGATTGCACAACAGGTATGAACGGCGTATTGAAATTGATTTGGTAATCAATGGCTTTATTGATGAACAAAGCCAAGTCTAACACTGATACGTACACTAATTCTAATGCAAATGGTCACCCTAACCTTAACACTAAACCTAACCCCGGTGCTAAATCTAACACTAACCCTAATACTAATGCTAATGGTCACCCTAACCTTAACACTAAACCTAACCCCAGTGCTAAATCTAACACTAACCCTAATACTAATGCTAATGGTCACCCTAACCTTAACACTAAACCTAACCCCAGTACTAAATCTAACACTAACCCTAATACTAATGCTAATGGTCACCCTAACCTTAACACTAAACCTAACCCCAGTGCTAAATCTAACACTAACCCTAATACTAATGCTAATGGTCACCCTAACCTTAACACTAAACCTAACCCCAGTACTAAACCTAACACTAACCCTAATTCTAATGCTAATAGTCACCCTAACCTTAACACTAAACCTAACCCCAGTGCTAAACCTAACACTAACCCTAATTCTAATGCTAATAGTCACCCTAACCTTTACACTAAAACCTATCCCCAGTGCTAAAACTAACACTAACCCTAATTCTAATGCTAATGGTCACTTTAACCTTAACACTAAATCTAACCCCAGTGCTAAAACTAAAACTAACCCTAATTCTAATGCTAACTGTAACACTAACCTTAACCCCAATGGTAACCCTAATTCTAAATCTAACCCTAACCCTAACACTAATTCTAAACTTAATCTTAACCCTAACACTAATTCTAACCCTAAACCTAACACTAACACTAATTCTAAATCTGATCCTAACACTAACACTAACACTAATTCTAATCCAAACCTATCACTAATTCTAAATCTGATCCTAAACCTAACACTAATTCTAAATCTAACCCTAACCCCAATACTAACACTAATTCTAAATCTAACCCTAACCCTAACACTAATTCTAAATTTAATCTTAACCCTAACACTAATTCTAACCCTAAACCTAACACTATCACTAATTCTAAATCTGATCCTAACACTAACACTAATTCTAAATCTAATCCTAACCCAAACACTAACACTAATTCTAATCCAAACCTATCACTAATTCTAAATCTGATCCTAAACCTAACACTAATTCTAAATCTAACCCTAACCCCAATACTAACACTAATTCTAAATCTAACCCTAATCCTAACACTAATTCTAATCCTAACCCTAACACTAAAACTAATTCTAATCCTAACACTAACACTAATTCTAAATCTGAACCTAACACAAACACTAATTCTAATCCTAACCCTAACCCTAACACTAAGACTAATTCTAAATCTGAACCTAACACGAACACTAATTCTAATCCTAACACTAACACTAATTCTCAATCTGATTCTAACACTAATTCTAAATCTAACACTAATTCTAAATCTAACCCTAACACTAATTCTAAATCTGATCCTAACACTAACACTAATTCTAATCCTAACCCTAATTCTAAATCTAATCCTAACCCAAACTCTAACACTAATCCTAACCCTAACACTAATTCTCAATCTGATCCTAACACTAAATCTAACCCTAACACTAATTCTAAATCTAACCCTAACACTAATTCTAAATCTAATCCTAACCCTAACACTAATTCTAAATCTGATCCTAACAGCAGGTCTCATCGTCCAATCAGATTTCACCACATTTGCCTTCCCTTAATTTTCTGTAATGTGAATCTGCAGCAGGCAGGGGGTGGGGGTGGGGAGGACATGCTGTTGTGCACAAATGAGGATTCTAGAATACAATTGTCATTTGCCGTTCTTCAAATGTGCATCGAATGTGAGTGAGATCGAGCGCCGGGGATTTTATAGGAAATCAATGGGAAATTGCTGATAAAATCAACGCTCATCATTTGGAACCGCCATGCCTTTCAAAGCGAACGGTGGCGGCAAACGGAACAGCGCGCCAAATGTTACTGAGACCTTCATTTCCCAATAGCTGCAATAGCTGAACTCCGGCCAGATATACAAGACACAATAAATGCGGCTCTGGAATCACTAATACACCATTATATCTATTTAAACATGCAAGTAAAATAAGTCCGATAACAGTCTCTTACAGTCCTTGTAAAGCAGGGCTGAGGTGTGAGAGGAAGAAGCAGCGCAAGGGGCCAATCAGTTGCAAGAAGATTGCTGGTAGGAGGAGAGAGCAGAGTGACAGAACGATTAGATCATCAGCTATTGTTCATGCAGAACAACTGCCCAGCCCCCGCCATGTACAGGCAGCAATATAAACACAAAATGTAGCGCCGCTCTCTTCTCTCAAGGAGAAAAACTTAGCATGCATCAAGTGGTGCCGCGCAGACAGAGATAGCGACTGTCGCTGGTGGCGAGGCTGTCCCTGTACTTACAATTCATTAAACGTCTATTGGCAGGGTGGGGGGGGAGAAGAACTGAAAGTGAAAGTGAAGTGACAGCAGATAAAAAAAAAAAATCTGTATTTCTCCCCTGACAGGCTTGTGCTAAATCTGTGTAAATCTCAGAACTGGATGGACGGCAGCAGGGGCGGACTGACCATATGGAAATCCGGGCACTGCCCGAGGGCCCGGGGTCAGTAGGGGGCCCCATGAGATACCCCTGATAACTTTTTCATAGGCTTTTTTGAGTTTGGGCAAGGACACAGGGGCCCCATGATCCCCTATTGCCCGGGGGGTCAGTAGGGGGCCCCATGAGATACCCCTGGTACCTTTTTCATAGTCATTTTTGAGTTTGGGCAAGGGCACAGGGGCCCCATGATCCTCTATTGCCCGGGGGCCCCATGAGCTGTCAGTCCGCCCCTGGACGGCAGGTAAAGCAGCTCCCTTTTTTTCATTCCATCTACATTTAGCTATTTGCCTGGAGTTGAGCTTTAGCACATTAATGTTATTCCCAACGTCATTTTTAATATCTTTATTTACTTTTTATTTATTTTTTTATTATTTTTAACTTTTTTTATTATTATTTTTTTTACTTTTTATTGTTTTTTTTATTTTTTTTTATTTATAAGCAGTGACTAAAAAAGTACACAGAAGAGCGCAATGTCAAAACACAATGCCCAATTATGTGTACTTTTGTAGTCACTGCTTATAGATTTTTTTTTTTTTAACAAGGCAGCTTTGTTTAAATATTTAGTTATTTGTTTAATTTTTTTTTTGTATGCTAAACACTGTCCCCATTTCTTTAGCGTGGGGATATAGGTTGGTTTCATCCAATATATTTAAAAAAAAAATTTTTTCATTGTTTTGTGTTATTTTATATGCATTTTATATATTTTATTATTATGATTATTATTTGTTTTAGGGGGCAGCACAGTGGCTAAATTGTTAGCATTTTCATCTGACAATACCAGGGATGTTGGTTCAAATCCCACCCACGGAACCATCTGCCTGGAGCTTGCATGCTCTCCCCGTGCCTGCATGGGTTTCCTCCAGGTACCCTAGTTTCCTCTGTGCGAGGCCCCGATCATGTGATCACTGATTGGCCAATCAGTGATCACATGCAGAGTAGTAAGCAAGATGTCACTTCAGACATCATTGCTTACTACGTGTGAAATCTGTGAATGATCACAGAAATCACATGGTACAGGGCTATTCACAACAGCCTTGTACCATGTGACAAGCTGTGACCAATCACAGGTCACACAGTTGTTCTCAATGGCTGCAAGAATGCAGCCAGAGAGAAGGAGAAATTATTGCTTTTACAGCCTTTATGGGTGTAAAAGCAATCAGTGTAAAAAAAAAAAAAAAATCTTCATCACCCCCCACAAGTAGCACAGTGTCACTATGATGACATTGTACTGCTAGGGTGACAGTATGTAAAAAAACAAAACAAAACATAAATAATAATAATATAAAAAAATTAAACATTTAAAAAAAAAAAAAAAATGTTTAAAAATTATAATTTCTGGTTATAAACTAATTTGGGTTATTTTTTTTTTTTTTTACTAAAAAGATAACGGAATAAATTTTGGCCAAGATTTATGATGAAATATTATTTATTTGCTAAATTTTATAAGAAAAACACTTTTTTTCAAAATTTTTGGACATTTACATAGCAAAAAAAAATAAAATTCCCAGCAGTGAATAAATACCACCAAAATAAAGTTTTATCTGTCTCAAAAAAAATGTGAAAAAATTTACAGTATAGTGTTGCATAACCGCGCAATTGTCATTCAAAGTGAGATGGCGCTGAAAGCTGAACATTGTCCTGGGCAGGAAGGGGTTGAAAGTGTCCGGACTGGAAGGGGGTGAAAGTGTCCGGACTGGAAGGGAGTGAAAGTGTCCGGACTGGAAGGGGGTGAAAGTGTCCGGACTGGAAGGGGGGGAAAGTGTCCGGACTGGAAGTGGGGGAAAGTGTCCGGACTGGAAGGGGGTGAAAGTGTCCAGACTGCTAGGGGGTGAAAGTGTCCGGACTGGAAGGGGGTGAAAGTGTCCGGACTGGAAGGGGGTGAAAGTGTCCGGACTGCTATGGGGTGAAAGTGTCCGGACTGGAAGGGGGTGAAAGTGTCCGGACTGCTAGGGGGTGAAAGTGTCCGGACTGGAAGGGGGTGAAAGTGTCCGGACTGCTAGGGGGTGAAAGTGTCCGGACTGCTAGGGGGTGAAAGTGTCCGGACTGCTAGGGGGTGAAAGTGTCCGGACTGGAAGGGGGTGAAAGTGTCCGGACAGGAAGGGGGTGAAAGTGTCCAGACTGGAAGGGGGTGAAAGTGTCCGGACAGGAAGGGGGTGAAAGTGTCTGGACAGGAAGGGGGTGAAAGTGTCCGGACTGGAAGGGGGGGAAAGTGTCCGGACAGGAAGGGGGTGAAAGTGTCCGGACTGGAAGGGGGGGAAAGTGTCCGGACTGGAAGGGGGGGAAAGTGTCTGGACTGGAAGGGGGGGAAAGTGTCCGGACTGGAAAGGGGGTGAAAGTGTCCGGACTGGAAGGGGGGGAAAGTGTCCGGACAGGAAGGGGGTGAAAGTGTCCGGACTGGAAGGGGGGGAAAGTGTCCGGACAGGAAGGGGGGGAAAGTGTCCGGACAGGAAGGGGGTGAAAGTGTCCGGACTGGAAGGGGGGGAAAGTGTCCGGACTGGAAGGGGGGGAAAGTGTCCGGACTGGAAGGGGGTGAAAGTGTCCGGACTAGAAGTGGTTAAGCGTCACAATGCTGATTGCAAGTCTTAGGGATCACCATCCAAAAATGAAAATGAAAAAAAATAATTTTTGTTCTTTAAATACGCTCTTCATATCTAAAGTCCTCCATGTCTCGCTGTTTCTCATTTATTGATGATTTACAGGTAGGGCCGAGGTGATATTAAATGCCCCCACCGCACCCCCCCCCCCCCCCATTGACTTCCATTACAGCCTAGCATGGACGCACTCCTCTATCCCTCTCCAGCACACGACCCCTATTATTTACTGCTCAATACTACCCGGTGACAAGCCGGGCTTTTCCTCACCACATCTGTCTTGGGCATAATTAAATGGAATGACACAGTGGCTTAAGTAAATCATGGAGGGAGCGAGGTCTAGATATTCCATTGGTGAGTCACACAAAGGCAAGCGATGGGCATTGACCACCAGCTCACTCCAGAGGTCATCCAGAAGGGTAATGGCTTATTCTGTAGGGGATGTCTTCCTCTTCTTCCAACGATGAATCCTTATTAGGAGGCGTGAAGTTATGGCGTCCCGGATAAATTGCGTCCAGTCCTCGATGGAGACGATGGCCAAGACTAATGATAAGGCTTTGTATTGGCTCAGCGCTAACAACCGAGGGAGCGGAGGTCATTGAGATGAAGGCTCTTCAGACACAACTGTCACAGCTTTGGTCAGATTAGTAGAAGGTCATCAATTCAATGGTTAGCCGGGTGAGCTGGTTGGTTTCAAAACTGGGCAAATGGATAATTTTTAGAATTGCCTACATTTTTTTTTTCTGCAAAGAATCTGAATCGTGATTTTCTGGAGTTCCCAGTTGTGAGAAAGTAGATGTGCATATATTAAAAAAAACAGGGGTATCCAAAATTCAGTGCAAGTGCCACATTGTGTATTTTACAAATGACCAGGAGTTGAAGAAAAGTCCCACCAGGGTCCCTTTTAAATCTGGATCCCTATCAGAGTCCCCATTACCTCATTAGTCACCCGTTACATCAGTGTCTCCCCTTTCATCCGGGTCCCCATCTAAGTCCCCCCCCCCGTACATCAGAGTCTATCTTAAGATTCCCCCCTTATATCAGGGTCCCCATCAGGGCCCCCCTTACGTTAGGGTCACCCCAATGCATTAGGGTCCTGATAAAAATCCCCAATTTCATCAGAGTCTGCCTTAAGATTTCCTCCTTACATCAGGATCCCCATAAGTGTCTCCCCGTACACCAGGGTCCCCATCACAGCCCCCCCCCCCCCTTATATCAGAAGTGGAGACCAAGAGAAGCCTCTGCTCAATCGTCGATCAGTGCACATTAAGGATATCTCACTGACACTAGCTGCAGACTGGTTAAAGGCTTGCACTGTGTCAGATGTGGCCCTGAGTTGCAGTTTAGATGGCAGTGTTAGAGGGTGGCTATGTTCATTCTCTATGGTCTCCCTGTATGTAGGAATGTAGCCACCAGGGGCGGACTGACCATTTGGAAACTCGGGCACTGCCCGAGGGCCCGGGGTCAGTAGGGGGCCCCATGAGATGCCCCTGGTACCTTTTTCATAGGCTTTTTTGAGTTTGGGCAAGGACACAGGGGCCCCATGATCCCCTATTGCCCGGGGGCCCCATGAGTTGTCAGTCCGCCCCTGGTAGCCACCCTCCTTTGCTCAAACTATGGACTATGGACCTGTTATGGGTGGCTACATTTGTTCACCATGGTTCAATTGGATGTAAGAACATAGCCACCCTCCCTTGCTCAAACTATGGACTATGGATCTGTTAGAGGATGTTACATTTTTCTCCACACTCCCACTGCATGTAGGAACATAGCCATCCTCCCTTGCTCGAACTATGAACCAAGAACCTGTTAGAGGGTGGCTACATTCATTCTCCATGGTTTTACTATATGTAGGAATGTTACCACCCTCCCATGTTCAAACTATGGACTTATTAGAGGGTGGTTAAGTTTGTTCTCCACACTCCCCCTGTAAGTAGGAAACATAGCCATTCTCTCATCCTTGAACTATGGACTTTGAACCTGTTAGATGGTGGCTACACTCATTCTCCATGGTTCTACACTATGTAGGAACGTAGCCGTCCTTCCGTGCTAGACCTATATACTATGGACTTGTTAGATAATGGCATCGCTCATTCTCCATGGACCCACTGTATGTAGGAATATAGCCAACCTCCTTTGCTCTAACTATAGACTATGGACCTGTTTGAGAGTGGCTACACTTATTCTCAATTGTCCTACTCTATGTAGGAATGTAGCCACCTTCCATTGCTGGAACTATGGACTATGGACCTATTAGATGGTGGCTACACTTGTTCTCCGTGGTCCTACTGTATGTAGTAATGTTGCCATCTTCCCTTGCTCTAACTATAGACTATGAACCTGTTAGAGCGGGGCTACACTCGTTCTCAATAGTCCTACTCTCTGTAAGAAAGTAGCCACCCTCCATTACTGGAACTATGGACTTTGGACCGGTTAGATGATGGCTACACTTGTTCTCCATGGTCCGACTGTATGTAGGAATGTAGCCACCCTCCCTTGCTCGAACTACAGACTATGGACCTATTAGAGGGTGGCTGCACTTGTTCTCAATGGTCCTACTCTATGTAGGAATGTATCCACCCTTTGTTGCTGGAACTATGGAGCTGTGGTGGCTACCCTCGTTCTTCATTGTCCCACAGTGTATGCAGGAATGTAGCCACTCTCCCTTGCTGGAGCAAAGGCCTAGTGCATTACCATCATTGTTTATTAAACATAAAAACAAGTGAGTGCATATTCACAAGAGCCAAGGAATAAAAGCATAGTACAAAAAGAGAAGACACAATGGGAATCCAAAGGATGGAACTTGCATGGTCCTTACATGAATCCGACTAAAGCTCATGCATTTCGAGGGACATGTCCTCTTCTTCAAAGCAATATAGTCTCTGTGATCTTCCCCTTCTTAAATAGAAGACCTTACTCTAACCCTATGTTCTCCGTGGTCCCACTTTATGTAGGAATGTAGCCATCCTTCCTTGCTCTAACTATAGACTATGAACCTGTTACAGCGGGGCTACACTCGTTCTCAATAGTCCTACTCTTTGTGTGAATGTAGCAACCCTCCATTACTGGGACTATGGACTTTGGACCCGTTAGTTAATGGATACACTTGTTCTCCATGGTCCCACTTTATGTAGGAATGTAGCCATCCTTCCTTGCTCTAACTATAGACTATGGACCTGTTAGAGGGTGGCTGCACTTGTTCTCAATGGTCCTACTATATGTAAGGAATGTATCCACCCTTTGTTGCTGGTACTATGGAACTGTCAGATGGTGGCTACCCTCGTTCTCCATTGTCCCACAGTGTATGCAGGAATGTAGCCACTCTCCCTTGCTGGAGCAAAGGCCTAGTGCATTACCATCATTATTTATTAAACATAAAAACAAGTGAGTGCATATTCACAAGTGCCAAGGAATAAAAGCGTAGTACAAAACCAAGAAGACTCAATGAGAATCCAAAGGATGGAACTTGCATGGTCCTCACATGAATCAGACTATAGCTCACGCATTTCGAGAGACGTGCTCTCTTCTTCAGAGCAAAATAGTCTCTGTGATCTTCCCCTTCTTAAATAGAAGACCTTACTCTAACCCTATGTTCTTCATGGTCCCACTTTATGTAGGAATGTAGCCATCCTTCCTTGCTCTAACTATAGACTATGAACCTGTTAGAGCGGGGCTACACTCGTTATCAATAGTCCTACTCTTTGTGTGAATGTAGCCACCCACCATTACTGGAAGTATGGACTTTGGACCCATTAGATGATGGCTACACTTGTTCTCCATGGTCCCACTGTATGTAGGAACGTAGCCACCCTCCTTTGTTCAGACTATGGACTATGGGATTTATAGTGTGCATAGAACAGTGCAGATGACCACAACTGCTGGTTAAAAACAACTGGAAATGAGGAGTTTTGAAAGCTCACAGAGGATGTTAGAAGGAGGCAGAAAAACACAGAAACAATTTGCTGAAAAATAGATTACAAGGCTGTTAAGTAGTGGATATGTATGGGTTATTTTTTGAGAACAAGGATATAATTTGGTATTGGTCAATTTTCAGGTACAAGGGAGATTTCACAGGTGCTGTATTCCTCGTTCCTGCCAGTAGGGGGAGCAATCCTTTGCCTACTGTGTCACCTTGAAGCAGGAGTTAAACAGCACTTGAGCAGGTTGTATAAATACTTGCAAGTCAGATCTAATAGCACATGTAGAGTGCTTTATCTCCCAAATACTGAGATATCATGCAGAGTGTTTTCTGCGATCCCGGGCTCTGTATCGGAGAGGAAATCTCTCTCTCTGTACTCAATCAATCAGGCTAATGGCACGGCCTTGTACGTGGTCCTCTCTCCTCCTCCTATCGATGGAGTACATCAGGAGTCTGTACCGGATAATTATGATTCCCTTCATTTCTGGTATTTGCAATTTTCATGTCATCCTGGGAATTATACTTCCATTTATTTCATCTATTAAAGGACAAGTCCACTTTGCCACGAGCTGAGTCTGTAAAACATCAGACACACAAACATTATTATAAAACCCAACAGAACATTTCTTTGGCGTTCAGACCGGCTACAGAAATATGCACTACAAAATATACGTTTATGATATAAAAAATGAAAGCAGATCTAAACCCTAGATCCTTTTTTCATCCTTCTTTGGAATCCAGTGCTGCTGATCTCCTCCAGCTTCTTTCAGCCATTTCCTGTCTACATGCGTTTCCCCCAG